TACTTTAAAAAATGGGGTGCAGAAAGAGAAATTCAACACATTAATTGCTACCTTTCGGTTGTCTTACGGACACAGTGGGTTATAGGAAGTGAGGTAAAGTTATGAGAGCATCGTCGAGACGTTTTTATATACGGTTAGTTTGGGGGAAGCAACCATGCTTGGCACAGGCAAAATACATAAGAATTCCGGCGGTGTTCCATACGGCTAAACGCTGTGGCAAGCATTAGCTTGTGAGCCCTCCGTGTGGTATCATGATTCAGCATTAGATGACTCGAAGCATGATTTGAAGTACTCGGGATTAAAAATAACATTATAAAGCCGCCCAGCAGGCCTTAAAGTGGTTCAATCAAGATCCCAAGAATTTTCAAACTAAGTTGGTAACGGAGGAAATGCAAACATGTACTTCCTTGGACGCCCCCAGTTGTGGCAGTTAAGTGCTGTGAGGTCCTGCTTAGGCCAGGGCAGAGTTACGAAATGTGCATTATAATGATGTCTTGAGAAATCATTGAGTATCTAGGAGATGTTTGGTGGGTTAAAGCGCTATAAAATTTCCATAAAAGGCAACCGAGTTAGTTTGAATCTTGGATGATTTCTCAGCCCAAGGAAAACAGAAAATATCCATTTTATGAATAAAACATGAAGAAAAAGAAAAAAATGTGTTCAATGCGTCCTCCTCAGGCTTGTAAAATTATATGTGAATAAACAAAACAAACAAACAGAGCTTTCAAAGACAAATTCAGTTGGAAGTCGTTAATCATGCAACATCACTATCCGTTAGGTCACAAATGCCGCGTACACTCCATTTCGTGAGTAGGATGTCCCAGTTCGGGTGGGCCAAGGCAGTTTTATCGTCTGAACGAGCCGCTACTGAACACAGGACTCTGGCTCGTATAATCAAATCGCGATGGCTTCCGCCGATTCAGGCAACCGCTTACGAATCCACTTTTACCGATTGTCTGGCACCTGATAGATCACTCTGAATGAAAGCCAATTTGGTGGTGTGGCCAATGTTGGTGAGATGCGTGGCTATGGATGAGTCGTTCTGTTTTTGACAAGCGGTCACGAACAAAACCGGATGGCTCCCTTTCACCGTTTCAGACAAGCGCCTCATCCTTCGGCCTATGTACCCTGCCCCACTGAAAGAGGAGAAAAAATCAATACACATTGATTTGGCTTGGAAGGGCTTCTTCTCTTAGGTTACTAACGAACGGTAGGTGCATTCCAGCTGCTGGAAAGCGTGTCTGAGGGCATTAGAAAGGCGACGAGTTGTGATTTCAGCAGCGATTACTCCCTTGTGTTGTAGTTTGGGAAATAGGGGTATTCTTTGGAGTACGATGGTTACGGGAGCTTTCTTCCATTGCCCCATGTTGGCCTTCAGGAAACTGTCAGGGTACCATCTTCCCTCAGCGTCGTACGTATGCGCTTCAACTTATCGGGAAACATTTTGTCCGAGTAAATTCTTTCTGCTCGACTCATTAGACTGAAGATCAGGTTCCGCTTAAATTTCAGCAGTACAAAACTGTGAAAATTCAGGTATGGTCCATTCCACGTGTGTTTTCTATACATGTAAGGTTGTAGCACGCCACCAGCGAGTTGCTTCATTGCCACGTGGAGGAAGTGAAAAGTATACTTTTACTCGACCGACAAGGTGTTTTTGACCCTGGTCCATCATCTCGGCACCATAGATTACGCATCAAGTTCCTTTTAAACCTGAGTGGTCAAACCTATAAAATTTGTGCATCTTCAGGCTCTACTTCAGATACTTTCATAAGGTCAGTGAAGGACGTGGCAGTTTAATCATTTTTAAAGTGTCTGAAGCATACTTACTATGATCACTACCCTTTTAAGAATTTGCTTCCGGCTACTACAATTAAACTTTGAGGGAAGAAGGGATAGGCCAGCGGAATCATGGGATGCGCTTGACTGTTTTATAAAGTCGCTAAACCATTCAGACAATTTATTTAGATGATGGACGCCATGAGGTGCGCCGGCACACATACACGTACAAAGTACGGGCACGTAGACCGATGATCACTTTCAGCAGCGGTCAGTGTATGATGTAATCCGAGTTACGTTACGGCCAGTGTATTCAATGGATTGTACCAGTGAGTAGACTCATGTTGAATGCTCCCTCAAATTATTTCTGTTGCCCAAGAGGACAGGTTGGCAGGGAAATGGTGTAGAGTATGGTTCGCCCACGTATTGTCCTATCACCCGGGGTGAGGTAGAAAAGATTGAGCGAGTGTAGCATGTAGCCACCAGGTTGACTCCCATCTTACGAGGTGTGCCTTACCAAGACCGGTGTAAGAAACTAGGGCTGTATACCCCAGCTTATCGTCGACTGAGGTTTGACCTCTTCATGACGCACCGGATATTACATCTGGGGGGTTGCCCCATGTTGAGACCACTGATTTATCTACGCACACCAAGCAGCACACGAGGACACCGGTACAAGCTTGTCGTACCGGATTTGAAACGGGTCGCTCACCAAATATGTTTCGAACGCAGAGTGGTGAAGGTATGGAACGGCCTGTCGCAGCAAATAGTTGAGGCAAAGTCGGTGTCGGAATATAAGAAGTTCCTGGACAAAAACTTTGCCGACGCACAATATATTGAGCGCAACACAACATGACGGGTCGTTGTCCCTGAGTGATATTAGATGCAGCTACACAGAGCAAATTCTACTTGCTGTTTCCAATCATTAATCAGTAATCTAACGGCGCACACCCGACTGTTGACTGGGATCCAATCAATAAGGGCAACTTCAGCCCGGGGACTCAAAGCAATGCCGACGCCAGCTTGACCGGCATTTGAAGCTGCATCATCGCCAGTTAGGTGCAATGAGAATGTGCCGCCAGTGTAGTATGTGGGAGATCGCAGAGTAACCACGAAGCTTGAATCTTTCAGGCGGGTTTCTGATAAACAGCAAATATCGAGCGATAGGTTGTGTAGTGTGTCGGCAAGCGCTACCTGTTGGCTAATCTGTAGGAAAGTGCGCAAGTTGGGACATTCCAGTCTTGGCGAGAATCGAGGACTCCAAAGGGAAACGAATGAACTGACGTTGTCCGCTTGCTTGAACACGGAGTTGTCGACTGGATCGCAGCGACGCCCTGCGACTGTGTGTGAGTTGCAACTCAAAGACAAGCGACTAATCAGTCAAGATTAGGGAGGGCTAAAAATTGGGGTATTGGAAACGCGGGAATAAAAGTGTAGTTGGAGCGGGACGATAAGGACGAAAAAGCGCAAGAAGGGGACAGGAACACGTGAAGAACTGAGAATTAGCATCCAAACGCCTATCCACTCTGCTCGATGCAGCAGATAGTGCACCGCTATTTATCCTCTGCGACGGCCAGAACATCAAGTAATTGTTAGAAGGAAAGGTCATGGTGTATTGGCTGGACAGAATACTGTCTGGTTGCCCAGGCCTAGACAGGAGAACGATTAGGGTTCTCGACCAAAGTATTTGGCTCATATACCTTACCGAAATGCAGCTGGGTTTTGGCACTGGACTACAGAAAGCTCGTTTTATGGAGTATGGAGCTACCCTAACTCCAGCACCCAAACTGGAGGGCCAGGAGACTGAGTTTGTCTTGCCTCTAACCATTGACCAATCTGGTATCAGTGGATCTGATTATGCAAAACGCACAACCCAGCATAGCTCAGTGGCTCACTGTGGCACAGAAACCATCGCAGCATGTTAACGTCCAGTCTCGTCGCCATGGTATGCTCCGGTTGTATTGCCAAGGAAAGCTGTGATCATTTATTCTGAACACCAACAATATTCTGACATCGTTTAAGATGGTTTTGAAAGCTGTAGCCTTTACATGTTGGGATTGCCAAAAGAATTTGAAAAGACACAGTATTATTACTTAAAATTATAGGTTTCATTTTCGAGCTGACTAGTATCGTATAGTAAGATTAGCAACCGCACATGCAGCGGCACCTGAAGAAGAAGAAATCTTTCGAGCGAATGCCAATTCTACTTCTATAGCTGTGACAACTGTTAAGGAGGTTATCTTAGTCCAAATAATGAGGACAGCGCTCAAAAATAATATGGGCTATAATTTTAAGATCTTCAAGTTCGTTGCAACTATATAATCCACTGTCCACTGTTGACAGAGACTCTCCCATTTTAGTGTTATTATGTGATATTATTCTTGATATGCAAACAAAACCTCAGTGAGGAATACTTTCATAACCTTTAATATTACAAAATCATTGTATGTCGAACGTGGAATAGCAAATCTTGTGTGATAACTGTTTGCTAAGGACGAGAGTATAAGAGTCCTGGTGGTTATCTGATTGTTTTCAGGTACATAGAAATAGATACAAACTGGATGGCAGACAATCCATAGTTCTAGCTGATTGTTACTTGGCTAAAGTGGCTTTGGCATTTATGCGAGTTGAAAATATGTAGGGATACTGGTTTTTGTTGTTGCCAGCTTGGTATTCAGCACGAAAGATCGCCGTACAATTACCTATCTATGTGTGAGGCCATAGGATTAAGAGCTGCTGAATCTTCAAAGGTAATCCAACACAAAAACGCCTGGAGCTTACGTTATTCAGTATGCAAGTCAAAGCAACCAGTGTGTGTTACTTTGCGTCCGTTCTTCGCTCATATACTTTGCTATCGGTAATACTACACAGATGGATGTAATTATACAATAGGCAGTAGAAATATCCACATCGCCCGGGAGTCGAGGAATTTGTTGACAAATTAGACAAAGTTTAAGGTTTCAACTCATGAGATTTATGCAGTTATAGATTACTCACCATCATATGAAATTCCAAATGGCACTGGGGATTTCTTAAAGACCTTTGAGAAACGGTCTGGTAGCAACTGGTAATCAAATTGTAAGCGCTTCACACTCCACTAAATGTTAAACTGCGCTGGACTAACAGCAGAAATAATAATCTAAACTGCCACTTTCGACTGAGAGGAAAAGATTCCAATTGGTGGACGTAGGTGTCTATATTGTGAAACAAACTGACACGGTCAGTCAAATCAGGTTCTGGAGTGTCTCTATCTTCTTCGCATAAAGGCTGTGATATTCTTTTGCAACGTGGACAAACGGCTTGTCAATAGCAATGGCTTCCTTCTGCAATTGGATGAAAGCACGAAGTGTATAAATGCATGCCAATGAATGCGAAAAGTTGCACTGATTTTTAGTTGCGATAAAATCATAATAACGTTGCATCTTAAGACATGAATTTAACAGTCATCCGGTAGAGTAGGTGAAATGAGTTGGTTAATACATACATAAGACGGTCATTGTGTTAACCAGCTAAAATGGTTGAGAAGTATTCTGATACGAGGTTTACCACTTACCAGTTCTGGATACATCGTAGTTTGCAAGGGGATGACACAAAGGATGGAACAATATAAAATAGCGAATAATTAAAAAATGGAGATGAAGACCAAACGGTCTTCTGCAAAGTCGCTTCCTCATGGACAACGTTCCCAATTATGCAAGCTTACTGATGGAAAACCACAGCATGTTTACCCACAGAACGTCTCGACATGTTTTATTCGCGTGTTTTCTGCCGTCCCACATTTGCAGCAGACTCTTTTGGAAAATTTCCATCGAGCCTTTAGACTAAATGCCATACATCATTCCTCATCATTATACGTTAGCTAGAGATTGGAAACACAGCTACTGTGTCGCAATACGTAAAAGGGGAATAAAATGCAACAGGTGCAAGCCAGCTGAGCTACCGGTAACAATGAACAATGAATTTATACGGGTTAAGAAGCGTTGCTTTACAAGTCCCGTTGGATAGTTGCAGGGGATGTCAACATAACAATAATAATGATAAGGAAAGTAGAATAGTTAATACTTTAAATATGAAAATAAGGACTTATCGTTTGCTCCGCTGTAGTCCTGCGATCCTCTTAGATTCACAGCACTCACAGTTAACAACAAATAATTCCATGGTAAACTCCAGGTGTAGGACGGAGACGTAGTGTTAAGTAACAAAGTGTAAGTGGATGAGTGCATCGCCAACCGTCTTTAAAATACTGTTAGTGTCGGTGCAGAGACGACCGATTCTGGGCGAGCATTCCACGGGTGACAGACACGAATGGAAAAGAAATTTCTGCGGCACTCCAGACGACTGTATTGTTCTGCGAGTTTTAATGAGTGACCTCTCAAGTTTGTATTGCTGCTGAGTTGCAGTAAGGGGCGGCACACATGATGTGGGTCTCGCAGAATCAAGTATGCCATTATCAGGTCGCCTCGTAGTCGGCGATAACTTCCACTGAACAATCCCAGTCGTCGCAGCCTCTCCTTGTAGGAAAGATTGTGCATTCCAATTACGTTCTTAGATGCCCGGCGTTGTGGCTGCTCCAGTGCATTAAGGTCGTGTTTCAGCCATGGATGCCAGGCTTGAATTGCATATTCGACATGGGGGCGAACATACGCACTGAGCATTTGTCGAAATATGGAGCTGTTTATTTGTCCAAAGGTCCGCCTCAACAGCCCCACGTGTTGGTTCGTAGTCTTCGAGACATTTTCGGATTGCCTGGAGCAACCCAAGTCATCTTGAACCGGGACATCTAAATCACGTTCGAGAGTTGATTGTTGCAGTACATCCGTTCCGAGTCGGTATGAGTAGCTGCTTTGATGTCGGATGGAAAGCACCTTGCATTTACTGACGTTGAAATGCAATAAGTTTTGGGTCAACCATTGATACACCGTAGCTAAATTACTCTGAAACACATGTTGGTCGGTGTTCGCCTGGATCCTGCGCCAGATCTTGATATCGTCGGCAAACATTAAGAAGTTTGAAGCGATTCCCTGCGCAAGGTCATTAATAAACACCAAAAACAAACGTGGACCTAGAACTGAGCCTTGCGGCACACCATACTCCACTTATATGGAATCCGATAAAGAGCTCCGAACTCTGACCACCAATTGCCGTTGATGTAGAAAGTTGGCGATCCAGCTTAAAAGAGGGTCGCCGATCCCGTAATGTTGCAGCTTGGATAACAATGGAACAATGGTATATGACGGGTAAAAAGCATACACTTAACGAGTCCCGCAAGTTGGCAATAGAAATACTAACAAAATGGCAAACCACATAAGTGGTTGAAGTAAGGAGCGTCAGTGAGATAAAAGGTAGAAGTATAACAGTTTTGGGGGGATAAAGTGGTACGACGCAAAACTGGCTAAGAAATTGTTATCGTTGGTGATGGTAGCAAATAAAAATGGATTACTCACCGGTTCGCACAGATTTACGATCATGAATTTGGGGTGTAAATCCAAAGAGGCTGGTTAGCCTAAATATATACAAGCGATTTCGTTCATAAAACAAAGCGCAGGGCGCTCAGTGCGACGTCCAATCGTTTTTTAAACGTATCTAATGTGGGGGCACAAACAACTGAGTTTGGAAGGGCGTTCCAGGGCCCGCAGACCCGGAGGGAGAAATAGGTTCTCCGACAGTCTAGACGACTGTACTGTTTGCTCAGCTTTAAACTGTTACCGCGAAGGTTAGTGTTCGGGCTGAGCTTCAAGAGGTGGCGGCATACGTGACTGGGATCGCTCAATATCTGGTACACTAGTATGAGGTCTCCACGAAGTCGCCGGTACCGTCCGCTGAACACTCCGAGTATCTCCAGTCGTTCCTGGTAAGGAGTGTGGCGCAAGCCCTTGACGATTTTCGTTGCTCGACGCTGTGGGGTCTCAAGCGCTGCAAGGTCACGTTTTAGCCAGGGTTGCCAAGCCTGGATTGCATATTCGACTTCAGGACGCACGTAGGCATTCAGCATCAAAGTGATGGATGGATCCAAAATTCCGAATGCTCTTCGCAGGAGTCCAACGTGCTGGTTGCCCCTTTTAGAAGCGGAATCTGACTGTTTGGAACACCCGAGGTCTTCCTGTACCAGCACACCCAAGTCGCGTTCCTGAGTGGTGGTCTTCAGATCGTGTGCCCCAAGCTTGTAGACGTGGACTTGTCGAGGGCGGATATGAACAACGCGACATTTGTTCACATTAAACGGCAGGGCTTTTCTCACCGACCAATTCCAGGCCTCATTCAAGTCACGCTGTAGGACTTCATGGTCATCCGATCGTTTTATCGCCCACCAAACCTTGAGGTCGTCCGCGAAGAGTAAGAATTTCGACGTAATAACTCTTATTAGATCGTTAATGAAAAGCAGGAACAAACGAGGCCCAAGTACCGAACCCTGCGGTACGCCGCATCCCACTCGAATCGGATCGGAAAAGGATGATCGAACTCTAACTTCTAACCGCCGTTCAGAGAGAAAGTTACCGATCCATCCTAACAACGGGTCTCCGATACCGTACTGTTGGAGTTTAATGAGCAGGATTCAATGATCCAGGCGATCGAAGGCTTTCGAAAAGTCCAAGAATGCAACATCGACTCCTGTTCCCTCATCGACAGTCTCGGTCCAGTTGCCACGAGCTATCAGCAGATTCGTCGTACATGAACGATGTTGACGAAACCCATGCTGTTCTGGCGCAATTATGCCGTAGTTTTCCAAGTATCCCATTAATGCATCTGCTATCACCGCTTCCATGACTTTGGCGATCACAGGCAGAAGCGTTACGGGGCGGTAATTGGCAGGATCCGATCGACTTCCTGCTTTGTATATGGGCGTTATTACACCTTGTTTCCACCTCGAAGGTACGATGTTCTCATCGAAACAGCGCTGAAAAAATGCAGCTAGTGGTTCGGCCAAGTGGATGGCAGCTACCTGTAATGTTTTCGGGTGAATGTTATTGGCCCCGGGAGAGCTGTGTGGACGCAAGGATAGCAGCTTTTGCAGCACCATTTCTGCAGTGAACGTGACGTTGGATAAAACGGACGGTAGGGTAACTAGTGGCGGAATATACGTCGAGGCTTGTACACCTTGGAAGATTGGGGAGTACTGGGCCCGTAATGCGTTGGCCGCCTCCTTCGCATTATGCGTATACCCATTGGTCGTATTAAGTAGTGGGATTCCCCGTTGCACCTTGCGAAGTCCATTCACATGTTTGTAAAGAAGCTTTTTGTTCGAACAGAATCGTTTGGCTAGCTCCTGCTGATGCGTTCTCTTGTCTTCGCGAACCAAAAGCACACAGTAGTTGCGATGCGAAACGTATTCCGTCCACTATTCTGCGTTGGGGTTGCTTTTATACATGCGCCATGCCCGATCCCTTAGAGTTATGCACTTTCGCGTCCGGCTTCGCAAGAATGATTTCGCTGTGTGGGGATGTTGGGAAACTTTTGGTGTTGAGGCTTCTATGACCAGTGACGTGATGGTGTTCGCAAATGTCTCCCAGGCTGGTTCTGGGGTGCCGTTAGCTAGAAACGTCCAACTGGTATTCTCAACTAGAGCAGACAGAACGTGGTAATGGGTAACAGATTGCCTCGTTTCGAGCTCCGCAGCTGGATATTCGGCGTAGCAGATGTAATCGAACTGCAAAGTCACGTGATCGCTACGGCCCAAAGGACTGCACACCTTTAGTCTATCGACCATGAGCTCTTCGGTAGTGAGCACTAGATCTAATATCGATGGGTTGTTTCCTGTTCTGAACCTGGTTGGAACGGTGACGTGGTTATACAAGAAGGTGCTAGAGAGTAGCTCTTGCAAATTTGCCTTGAACACTTCTGTCTCGGATGCTGGATTTTCCAAGTCATGGGTGTTGAAATCTCCTGCAACGAGGATGTGGCTGTACTTCTGATTAAACACGAAACAAAAAGCGGAGATAAGTCTGTTGTCTCTTTCCGGAGTGGATTTCGGTGGTCGGTAAACCACAGAGAGAAGGCATACGTCGTTGCTTTCCAACCACAGTTTGCACCAAAGGATGTCGGTGACACAAGTCTGGGGATCGTCTATGAGCTCAAAACGAAGGTTCGTTCGGAAATAAATGAGCACGCCACCGCCCTTGCCCGTTCTGTCGTTCCGGAGAAGTGACATACCCGGTATGGCAATCTCAGCGTCTGTGATTTAGCCGCTCAGCCAGGTTTCGGCGATCATTATGATGTCTCGAGGCTCCGAAGCCAAACGGTGACGGAGTTCTACCAACTTACTTATGAGGCAATGTGCATTAGTATACATGCACGATAGTGCTTTTGTAACCAAGAGTGAGCTAGC